AAGGTCTGGTCAAATTGCCCATCTTCTTTCATATATTTCTATATCTGTAAATTTCAGCAGATCAGCTTGTTATGGAGAGAGAAAAAGGTCACTGGGAAAGAAGCAGGGAGTGAGTCAGGTGGGTGGGAGAAATAAGATGTCATTTGGAAATTCTGACTGTAATACATACAAAGCATGGGGGTGGAGAGTCTGCCCAAGGGAGAATATCTTTTGAAAATATCTGTGGAGAAAAGCTCATAATGTCGAAGTGTGCCTGCAATACAGAATGTGTATCTTCTGAGAAATATTTAATATAGTTGGCTAGAGATGAAGGGAAGGTGGGAAGAAGAACAGAAAAGAAAAAAAGAAGAAGGCTGCCTTTATGGTGGATTCCAGCAGGGGAAGATGTAGCCATCAAGACAAAGAAGCAAAGTTGTCACACTGCGACAGAAAACCAATGCCACCTTGCCTCAGCCTCATGAACCTCAGAACGGTGTGGGATTCTCCTTCTCTACTTCTGGAACTATCTAGGAAGAAAGCATGCTGAAGGTCACATGAGATCCATCTCCTTTTAGAAAATTATTGCTCAGTCAGCATTTCCAAAAGTCTATCATTTGGCCTGCATTCTCTGTTCCTGATTCTAATAAAGTTAACAACCATGATAACTATGGTTGACAAGGATGATGGAACACCATGATCATCATCTTCTCCTCCTTCTCCTTCTTTTCCTCCTCCTCCTTCTCTGCCTTCTCCTACCATACCCATATCTCTCCTTCTCCTTCTCCTTCTCCTTCTCCTTCTCCTTCTCCTTCTCCTTCTCCTTCTCCTTCTCCTTCTCCTTCTCCTTCTCCTTCTCCTTCTCCTTCTCCTTCTCCTTCTCCTTCTCCTTCTCCTTCTCCTTCTCCTTCTCCTTCTCCTTCTCCTTCTCCTTCTCCTTCTCCTTCTCCTTCTCCTTCTCCTTCTCCTTCTCCTTCTCCTTCTCCTTCTCCTTCTCCCTGCCAAATATTTTATTTGGTAAAGGCTTCTGATGTGCAAAATGAAAGCAAAACTCTGCATTGACATTACAGCCTAAGCATCAGAGCTCCATCCATGCCATCAAAGCTCACCTTGAAGTTTCTCTCTCACCCATTTACTTCCCCTGTTTATTCTGTGTGGTTAAGCATAGCTCTTCAAAAAACAGAAGAAATGGGTTTTGAGCATCTCAATATGTCAAAATAGACAGCTGCACATTGATCACAACATATTTGTTTATTGTTTATTTTATTATCTTGCTGCAGGGGGTTTTTTACCCTGCACTTCTTGGAGAGACAAGGTGGCTTCCCATTACTAATAGAAATCAAATGCTTCTGCTGAACATTTTGAAACTCTGCAGAATCTGCCACTGATTCCAAAATAGACTATTTTGTTTATCTGCCTTGTGTATTTCTTCCTTTGGTAATGCCACTGCCATTTGAATCTTGAAGAGTCTTCTACAGGCAGCTCTGAACAGAGATACGTACCTGTCAGCTAAGGGGGGGGGGGGGGAAATGGGATATTCAACAAAATGTTGAAATTTAGAGAGCTCCTAGTCAGGGTTTGGAAATCTGATTTCTGAAGTCTTCTTCTCCTGTGAAAGAGGCATCTGTTCTTCTGCCTCATCCTGAGATTGTTTCATTAGATGTGGAGCTGATTTTTAATACGAGTTGAACGATGGTGTTACTGGTCTCTGGACGCCCTTCTTCCTATTGCTATACAGTCTTCTTGGTGGACACTGTCTGAATGGAAGTGTGTGCAGCCAAGGAAGTTGACAACTGCTCCAAAAAGGGTTTACAGTGACAGACAGGGACTATCCAAGATGTCCTTGCTATTCCTGCTGTCCATGCTAAGTGCAAGAAACTTCCCCGTGAGAATTTCACCCACCGTTGCTTCTTCCAAAAGATCAGAAGCACGAGAAGCTGACCTAGCAGCAGATGAGCGAAGCTAGGAATAGAAAAATGTTGATGCGAGCGTGTATGGAAAAAGCCACCAGCTGATGGATCAGGTGGTGGGTGGCACAGAGCAGATGGTGTCCCTTGGGGGATCTTGGAATGCCTGAATAATGAGCAGGGAGAGGGAGCAAGGACAACGGAAAACGTCAGATCGTGCCAGAGGACTTGGTGGCAAACACCTGGCTGGAACTCAGTCTCTCCACCTATCTTCCAAAGTGCCACCTTGTTTTGTTTTAAGTCTTTGGCTTGCATATTTTGCCTAAATTTCTGTTCTCTTCCTCTTCTCTTCTAAGCTAATTTCTTCTTCCCCCAGGCCCTCTGGCCTCCGTGGCGGGTTGAAGAGGATGGTTAGAAGCATGCGTGCGCCCACAGGTCTCCCATAGCAATCCTTGCCCTGTGCTTTGAACCTTGCCCTTCTTTCTCAGCATCTTCCCACTTCTCTGCCCAGTGCTAATGAGCACCCTGGTAGCCCCTGGGGATTTCTTCCTTTATTTATTTTGGGAAAAATAATCTGTATTTCCTTTGCCTTGTGCTCATTAGTCAAGTCTGCCTTTGGGTGAAAATAGATATTTATCGCCTTTTGCTCCATTTCAAAAGCAGGACAAATTCCTTTTCCTTTGGCTGCCAAAATGGTCCCTCCTGGTTTCATACTAGAATCACATCAAAATGGTTTTCTGCATCCCCCCCCCCCCCCGCCCGGGCTTTTTCCCTTCGATCTGATGGAAAGGAGTTTGCTATCAAGAAAGCATCGGTGCATTTTAGGGGATGGAGTGCATGTGACTGTCCTGTCTGTCGTTGAACAATCCTCTCTCTGGCATTCTGCAGCCTCCCTGGCGTCCCACATCCCAGTTGAACCTCAATGGAAGACATCCACAGGAATTTTTCCCCCCAAGGGCCTTTCCCAAAATGGAAAGTGGGGGCCATTGGATGACTGTGTTGTGAAATAAAGAGGGTTTGGGCAAAAGAAGAATGAAAACACCCTCCTGGAATCTTGAAAACCCTGCTAAAATAAATTTGAATTTTACCCCCTGGGAATGAACATTAAAAGAAGAATGGGAAACAGTTTCTTCCTCAGGGAAGAAAACATTTGTATCAACCCTCTAGCAGCTGCTCGCCACCAGGAAGCCTAGATTCACACAATCTTGTTAACCAGACTTATTGACAGACAAAAAGGGGTTAAGTTACAGAATCTTGGAAACCGTAGATGTGTCCTTCAGCATCCCATTGTCAGTAAGTTTGTTAGGGTGGATGTTCTTTGAACCTCTTGTTGACTGCTTGTTGAAGCTGTAGGTTGCTACTCAATTCCTTGACATGGGAAAAAGTTGCAGCCACCCTCCTCTTCTTTCTGGAAGTTCCTTACATTTTGGGGAATGGGTGGACATTTTTTGATGACCGTTCACCTTCTTGTTGAATCCATTCGGTTGGGACTTTTCTTGATTCCAAAGCTAAGGCAACATCCAGTGAATCATTAGAGAGGAGCAATGATTGCTGAAATAAAGCCGGGAAAACATCTTTATTTCTCCTTTAAAGTGTTTGCCAGTTGTGTGGATGAGGGTTTTTTTTACTTTTATTGTTATGATTATTCATTTATATTAATTCTGGGCATCTGGACAACAAGGACGAAAGATTCACAGTATCATTACTGGCATGGAGTTATGCAAAATCTCTTGGAATCCACCTCCCAGACTAGAAAGCTATATATTTTTATGCAGCCTTCTCCAGGTGGTGTCTTCCAATTACAAACTTCTGAATTTCCAGCCAGTACGGTTGGTACGTTTCCCATGCCTTCAACTGAGATTTAAATATTGGGGAGGCCAGGAAAGTAGCAGAAACAGGAAAAACAAAGAAAGAAAAACATGAAATAGAATAATAAAAGCAAATAACATTTCAGGGAGGAAAAATACCTTTTGTGTCACATATTGGAAAGAGAAATGAGCAGTAACTGTCACAGAATTCTTGGAGCGGGGGGAATATTTTCTGCTGTAAGTTGCAGACTTCTTTTTATTTCCAGTTTTTCACTGGGATGACTTTTTGATCCTAGAAAGAGAATCCTTTCAAGGGAACACTGACATTTATAACAAGGAGAGAATCTACGGAGCTTCTTTTGAGAGGGAGACGTTTTCGCTTTTGACCCACCTCGAATACTGTTCATGTTGGGGGCATGAAAAAGGAAGAAGGGAGAAAACGATGCAGGCTTTGTAAAGGCATCGTTGCAATGTGTGTGTGAATGGTTGTGATTCCCATGTCAAGAGCAAAAAGCGATACAAAATCAGCCATATTATTGTTCCACGTCATGATCATCCCGAAAGGTTTCTGTTCAGCGGATCCATGTTGGCTCTCATTTTTCCACTGATGAAATACAGTGGTCAGTTTTGCAGGGGTGCTATTAGGAGGAATGTAATGGGCAATTCAGTGGGTTTTTCTCTCCTTACTTATGTCAGATCCCGTCCTTCCACTGGAATAACCCCTTTCTATCACCTCCTTTTCCTTTCTGTTTCTCCCTTCTTTTCACCCCCAGATCTTTTAGATGAAGCCACAGAAATGTAACTTCAGAATATCTGGGGGAACATTTCATGGTGTTCCCCCTTCCCCATTTCCCTCCTGACCATCCCCTCATTGACCCACCTTTCCCACCCAGATTCAAAGCCTCATCCAGGTTGTGCTCCGATCTTGTTCTGCAGGGAGTTTGCCCGTTGGAAGGTGAGGAACACTGCCATCGAGCGGAGAGACCTGCTCCGGAACCCGGTCCCCTTGATGCCTGAGTTCCAGAGGAGCATACGCCTGCTGGGCAGGAGACCTACAACCCAGCAGTTCATTGATACCATCATCAAAAAATACGGCACCCACATACTCATCTCTGCCACCTTAGGAGGTAGGTGGTGGTGGGCTTGGCTCTTGTTTCAGGACTTGGATGTGGGAGCTGGAGGAAGAAGTATGGCAGATGTCTTGACTCACAAATGCATGGGGCTCAGCTTGGTGTTTCCTTTAGAAATGCTGCCTACATTTATATTCCACCTTCCCTCATGGTTGGCTGAATGGTGCTGATTCACAGAACGTTTGTGCATGTTCTACTGACTTTGTGGAAAGGGAAGTGGGCCCATCCGAAGTTGAAGAACTCCGCCTCCCAGGGTCCCTTAGCGTTCCCCAATCTGGCTGGGGTTGCTGAGAATTGCTTTCTATGTCGCTTAAAAGCAGTGGGGCACAGCCAGAGCCCCCCAAGCTGCATATGAGCACCCCCCCCAAAGTGTGACTTCCAGCCCTCCAAATGTTGCCACCCAGTTACTATGTTTAAAATTTGGTAGAAGGGGGAAATCATGACATTCATAGGGCATAATGGCTTTAACCCTGCTTAATGACTGAATTAATGATTTTAATTAATTTTCAATTAAATGAACCACCTTTCATTGTAAACAAACCTTGTCAGTTTCTGGACTCTGGTCTGTCCCCTCTTTCTGAAGTATGTCCTCAGCACATCATTCCAAGTTCTGCTTTAGCTCCCTGGTTGCACACAACTGGTTGAGAAATGAAATGGTCAGGGTAGAATGAGAGAAGATAATTGTAAGGGGATCAGTAATGTGTTTGAATTGGTTTAGAAAATACAGTTTGTCTTAGAATAATAAGACCCAGATTTGGGTTCATAGATCACACAAAGTCTCCAAGTTATTTTGGAGGAGATGTTTTAATCCCTGGAGGACGGTTGTGAGAACAACACAAAGTTCAGCATTTTTGTGGTCTCAAACGTTGCTGGAAGTTAATGCATCTTAGCTGTCTCGGTCTATGAATTAATGCTGATATTCATTTCTCTTGGAATGGGCTGCCTGTCCTTGGACATCAGAGTTAGTTTGGTCCTTATATGTTATTATTCTAAGATGAAAGGTAATACTTTTTAAATACGTATACTTTCAGCAGGAAATGGGGAAAAATCCCTTGAGGGCACTTTTTAACATGGTGTCTAGGAGTTACTGAAGTAACAAAACAGGTTATCAATTTCAAAAGAGTTGATGTGGAAGTATTTTAATTCATTCTTGAAGTTTAAACGTTGCTTTGACCAGGGTTGAGGCACACATCCGTTCCTGTTGGCATTTCATTGCTTTTTGAAACAAGCATCTCAGCTGAAATGCTATTACCTTTTCACTTTCTCACTTCTGAAGTTTGCAAATGTTGACGCAAAACTCCACATACGTGCACATAACAATCCAAAGCCATGTGAAGAATGCATGTGAAGCTGCGGGCATTAATATGCACCCTAGGCAGAGCCAAATGTTAAGGAGTTAATTCAGAAGAAAGGCTTGAGCAAATGCACCTGAGTTCTCAGAGTAAACTAAATTTAAAAAATTAAGTTTACACTCTGCAAACTTCTTTAGTTTTATATTTAAAGCTTCTGTTTTATATTTAAAGCTTCGTCTATCCTTTTTGCTCTTTCATTTCTGGTTTCTGACTGCATGCAACTTCACCAGGACTGTTTTTCTTCCAAATGAAAAAGATAGAAACCTAGCTGAACAAAGAAGCAAAAATGTATGCCATTTGCAAGCTAACTGGAAATCGGAATGCCTCTGAGCATAGGCAGAGGCCCTTTGCATACTGTATCCCCCTCAGGATCACCTTGAGACAGGAATGGAAATGGGGGGTTCCTAGATATTGGATAGATCACAGAACTCTTCTGAGTCCAAACAGTCTTACCTACTAAGGTTGCAATTAGGTCCCTGGTTAACTGTGAGTTAGATCCACTGAATGACATCATTTTGAACAAACAGGCACAGGAGAAGTGTTGAGAAAACCAGCCTAGTTTTCTTCCTTTTCAATTGCTCCCACCACCTGGGCTGTTTGTCCCTCGCATTTCCAAATAATGCAGACCTTTTGATGATGAAATATATTTTTAATTTTGCCTGGGCCCACTGGTGAATTATTCACCACGTGCTTCCTCGCGCTCCTGTTGTTATGACACTCCACTTTAAAATATGCACAGGCCTGGAATGAGAGCTAGCAAGCTCAACATTTCATCAGCTCTCTTGCAGGAAGAAGAATGGGGAAGGAAAAATGCCAGGAGAACAGTACAGGAGGAAAGCTTTATCTTGACAGCAGTAAAAGGGGAAGACGGCCCCCCAGGATCACCCCCAAGAGCATGTATTGCTCATGCGTGAGAGTATTTTCCTGTTTGGAGACTTTAGCCTCATCACACTGACCCAGAAGCCTATCTCAGATGCTCAGCTGATCAATCAATTTCTGGAAGGCCACAGTTGCAATAGCTCTTTAAAATTAAGCCCAAAAATAAAAGTGGGGAGTGTATTCTAACCATTTTGGAAATCATTGGCCATTTTCTTAGCACCAGGGGGATCCTATAAAACCCCAGAGGACTATTTGTTGGAATCCAGACAAGACATGGCATTAAAAGTACTTCAGGCACTCAAGCTTGTAGTTATTCAGCAACTTATTTATAGCAAAAGCTTCGCAGAAATGACAAAGCTATATAAGATGCTGTATTGGAAACAGGGAAGAAGTCATACATGTCTATGGTGGAACCATCAAATCAAGCCCTGTGTATGTACGTATGTTTTGGAGTTTAAATTCTAGGCCTTTTCATCTCCACTTTTTAAATGGTGGATTTTTAGCTATCCCCCGATTGAGAGTTAGACGATATTTACCTAACTGTTCTGTCTGGCCTGTGAATCTTTGGTTCCTGTTTTTCCAGTTCTAGCTCTTCAGCTGTGCTCTCCTGTCAGAGATGTTGAACTGAGCAGTATTAACATTACTTCCCAAGCTGGGTTTGACTTGGTTGCATCCTCCTTCATAACTCTCAGGGATGCAAGAACAGTGGCACTGGGCTCAGATTAGAACAGGTAAAGATCTAGGTTCAAATCTCCACTAGCCACAGTTTTAGCAGTGCTCATCTAATTTGATGTAAGGATTCTTCTGGTGGATCTACTTCTGGACCTAGCCAAAGATCTAACTGATTTAGCATCTACACCAAGTGATCTTCCAACTTGTGCCTTTCTAATGAGGTCTGTGCTCGGTTGGTGCACAAGTTACAGTCCTACCTTAACCGAGATAGCATCCCATGCCCTAAAAACCTCTTATTTGGAATATTGTGTTTGTACCTTTGAGTCAACGTTGACTCCTGGTTGGACTCCTGGTTGGAGCCAGGTTGGACACCTGGACAAATCCTTCCAGTTTTCTTGGCAAAATTTCAGAAGTAGTTTGCCATTGCCTGCTTCCTAGGACTGAGAGAGAGGGAGTGGCCCAAGGTCACCCAGCTGGCATTGTGCCTAAGGTGGGACTAGGATTCATGGTCTCCCAGTTTCTAGCCTGATGCCTTAACCACTACACCAAACTGGCTCTCTTTGCAACATTTCTGGGGCTGGCCTTGAAGACAGTTTGAATGTTGCCATTGGGGTAGGACATAGCTGCATAAATGTTAAGTGTGAGAGATAAATATGACTGTGTAATGGTGTAGTGATTGTCTATGAGCTATTGGGTAAGGCTTGCCTCCTCCTCACTCATATACTTTTGAGTGTGGCTCTTGTTTTGATGTTCACACCAAAGATCTCTAAATTCTGAAATGCATTCTGCCCAGGTCTTGTGTGATTTTGACTACAATGTACCCCCAATCCCTTTCTGTTATAAAAACAGCGGCTAGTGGGAACGCTCTGCACAGCTGCTACTTGCTTCTGATGGAAGTGGGCTTGGTAATGGTGGGGGGAGCTTAAAAACAGGAAGCCTTGAACATATTTCGGAGTTGGGAAGCCTACTTTGTCGTGGCCCATCTGACCATCTCAGCTTAATCGGAACCTCCATGTGTCATCCCAGAGCCAATAAAATGGCTCTCTGTTCTTAGTTTCTACCTAAAAATACTGCACCAAGTGATTCCTAAGGGTGCTAATTCTGGAGGTTGGAGAGGGCATTGCTGAGAGCTAATTTGCATGGAATACCCCAAAGGCAAGATGACTTTGAATGTTTTAATAAATGAGAAATTAGGACTTAATAATGCAGTGAAAATCTATTAACCCTTCCTGATTGCTGTAGCTGTCTTTTTTTCCTGAGCAATGTTTTGCTCCTTCTACTCAAGTTTTTTTGCAGTTGGATGTTGGAGATGCGCTCACCATTTCAACACCCTGTTTCTCCACTGTTCAGTGTTTTCTCTCCCTCCCCATTATTCATCACCAAAAGCTACATTTGAACTCTCCTTTGATATGCGGGAGTTTGGTGGAATGTATTGAGGGTTTAACATTAACGCATGGCTTTTCCAAATTGTCCACGCAAGGTGGATTTTGTCTGATCTGCGTGGGAATAATAGCAATAACATTCAACATTTTGAAGCCCCTGGAACCCCCTTGAAGTCAGTTGGTGCCCACCCTGATGGTGTTCAGGAAGGGTGTAAAGTCAGTGCTGCTCCAAAGAGCCTCTATGCTGGAATTGTCAGTGTTGGGATTGGGTCCCACGGATGTTATTTTTTAATTTGTTTTTCCCTGTTTAATTTACAGTTGCTGGGCTTATGGTTTTTATGCCGTAAATTGCCAGAAACTGTTGTGGAATACGACGCTACAGAATTGTATAAACAAATAAATAAATAATAAAGGAAGCTAATCACAGCAGGAATAAGAAAATATTTCATTCTGTAGTTGAAGTCCCTATAGCCATGTCCTGGGGTGTGTGCGTGCGCATATACTGTATGCAATCAATAAATAATAAAGATAGAACTTCAGTTATAACCTCGTCGTTTGTATTAATTTTTATCTTCCTTTTTAAGACTTTTATTTATCTTTTTTTAAATCCCCTCTCACCCCTATGGGTGGTATCTGTCTTCCTCAATCTCTCAGTCGATCCTAAGCCTTGCACTCTTCTGGACAGAGCTCTGATGTTGTGCCTGGGGTCTGTTGGAGCCCCTTGCCCGGTGTCAAGTCCACAATGTCCAAACCCCAATCCTGAAGAATTCTCATGAAACCAGGCCTGGTTCAGATAAATGCTCCTTTATTTTGTGGTACATG